AAAAAGCCGTTCACGGCCTGAATTCTCCATGCAGACAAACCGCTCGCTTCGGGTAGCGCTCGGGGCTGTTGCTGTGGATGACTCTTTCCCTTAGCAGAGAGATGAGCTGACCGCGACGCGGAGGTTTCCTTCACGAGACCTCCCACGGGAGCCGTGGGGTCAGACGGACTCCGGGGTGCCTGGGCGTTTCGGAAAGACCCTGGCGTAGTCAGTGGCGGGGAGGTAACAGCAGAGCGGTGTGTGCACGTGTGTAAAAACGCGGTGGACCTCCCGGCGCATACCGTGAAGTGAGATGGCTGCCCACAAGCTTTGGTCACCAGCTCCCGTCCTCACCGCGCTTAGCGTGTCGGGTGCCCGCACTCCTTCCTGACCTGCTCCATCTCTGTGGCGTTCGTCTGCTGCGGTCGATCGCTTGTTTAAATTTGCTGCAAGTGGGGCCTCCTTCCCTCCCTTACTTGCGGATATCTGTAATTCAAGGCTTGTTTTGTTCCCAGGAGCTGTGTTCCAGCCCCCAGTTCATAGCCAGTGGAGCCACTCGCACAGACATCTGCCAAGGGGCCTTAGGTAAGGTGGAGGCAGAAAGCCGAGTTTTCCGTTCGGGCAGGACACCACAGTTTATACTAGGCTGTAACTCACTCTATAAATATATCCTCTTGCATCCTACCACCTCTCTTCATATCAAATCAGATCTTTCTTGCCTTTCCTCGGCAGCTGCAGGTAGGGATGATGTGTGTTCGGCCACCGAGCACAGCCTTGCTGTGTGCACCGAGCAGGGGTGACACAGACTGGTTTCCTGATGGCTTTTCTGGTTGCTACCAGTTCCTTGCATGTCTGCATCCGTGTGCCTGGGAGTAGCTTGACTAATTTTTGCAGTTGATGTGTAGCAGGGTGTTTCTTTCCCCGGTGGGAGAGAGTGCTGCATAGCAGGAGGGACCCCCTGAAACCTGGAAAGATGCTGTACAGAGAAAACCAGTTACACGGAGGGATTCCCAGCTGCTCACTGGCTCTCGAAGAAATAAAAACTGGGGTATTTCGGGAGGGATGGGCCAGCCTGTGAGCCCTCTGCTTTTGCCATGGCTGTCACCAGGTTTGTACAGTGGCAGCCCCTGGGTCTGCCGCTCCGGAGGAGCCCCAGGGAACAGCGGGAAGCGGGTGGCTTAACCTGGCTGTGCATGCACAGCCATCCCGGTCTTGAAGCCTCTCTTGCCTTGCCTGCCAGAAGGGGTTTTAGGCAAGTGTCTCTGTGCCTCTCCTCCCGGTGTGGAGGCTGGTGAGGAGGGCAGCTGTGGGGATGGGAGAGGAAATAAGCTGAAGTGGAAGCAGTGAGGTTCCTATTTGTTCCATAACTATAGGGAGAGTGTTTTAGATTAGACTGATAACGTGGTTGAGGAAAAGCTCTTGGTGTAGAGAAACATCACGGATACGTGCTGTGTGTTGCACTTTTGCAGAGGGGTTGGCAAAGGAACGAAGTTCTGTTTGTTTGCTTTTTGTCAGCATAATATAATAGCCATGTTGTAGCTTCTTAGTTTCTAGTCCAGCTGCTACTATTTGTGTTTTCATGTCCAAAAATATAATGGATAGGGAAGCTTATTTCACATGTTTTGTGCTTATTTTTTCTTTCAGGAGTTATTCAGGTTGGTGCTTTAACAACTAGATACAATTTCTGTAAAAAAAACAAACAAAAAAAAAAAACCACAAAAAAACTGACAATAAAAAATACTTAGATTGTTAATTTAGCTCTCCTCATGCCCCAGTATCGTCTGCAGCATGGATTAGGCTCTGTTGCGTCATCGGTGAAGTCCTTGGTATGTCACCAGCTTCCTTCATGTGTTCTCTCTCTGCCCAATATCACATCTCCCACCATGACTGCTTTGACATTGAGCATGTCCCAGTGCTTAACACACATGCCAGACATTTGTGTCCTCTTTCTCTCTCTTTTTTTTAATTTTTTTTTTTATTGTGAGACTTCACAGCTAAGGAGTAGTTCGACGTGAAATGAGTTTATTGTAATGCCATTTCAACAGCTGGCATTTTGCATAGATGCTTGTTTCTGAAGGCACTTAGTTGCTTTCTGCAGACTCCTAGCTTTTCTATCCAGATGTTGTGGCAGCAAGAGCACTGTAATGAAAGATTTGTAACTTGGTTTTCACGTTGTGGAGTTGCTGTTGCTAATGCCAAATCTTTTTTTAAATGGATGAAAGCATTTGTTGCCTTAGTGATCTTTAGAGCACTTAGATGTTCTCGTGAGGTTATACAGTACCACCAAAGGGTACACACTGACTCACAGCTGCTATTATTTTACCTCCTGAATCAACATTTGAATAGGAGGTTATTAGTGTTCTTGTTTGTATTACTGTTTTCACCATGGCTAACTACTGCTATGACTCGCCCTACTGTCCTCCTGGGAATCTGGGCAGGATTTTGGTATTGTGTGACTGTTTAGGGGTTGATTAAAAATTAGATGCTGTTGATCTTTTCTCTGTATAGTCATTGAGTTACTAAGAGCCTGTCTGTATTGAATCTCTGCTTTTCAGATAGCAGATGTACCAGATGTGGAGTACAAATGCCTTTTTTTTTTTTTTTTGGCGACTGCCTCATCTGACACCACTATTTGTATTGATACATTTGCGTAAGCTTCCATTTACTTGAACTTTGTGTGCTGACACTGATTTCCCATCCCAATGACATCACATTTTGGGATGTCACAAAGACTGCACTGGAAGATGTCAGGTGCTCTTGGAAACCTGTGCTTTTTATTATGTTGCTTTTTTCTGTAGGAAGCTTTTGTCATCTGTTTATTCCCCAAAAGGCTTGGTCAAAAAGCAACAGACCTGTGCCCACGTGGAGTTTCATTGCTGTGCTAAGCCATTCAGAACATCTTCGAATACCACAGGGACAGATGAGGCGTCCAAAGCAGATGTACCTGTCACTGCTGCAACAGGCTTCGTGGCAGGGGAAGTGTAACTGAACAGCTTGGCTAATGAGCGGTGGTACAGATGTTTCTTTTAGCCCAAGAGTCTTTAGTCTGTGGGCCAGATGAAGCCTATAAATTTGTTTCATCATTTTTTACCTGGACTATACAATACCATGATGCATAAGAGGCACAGCCGATCATCAGCACAGAAAAGATTGTCGTCTCACCAAGGCGACAGTTCATTAGGTTCTCTGGACACCACAACTCTACCCCTTGGGCTTTGGATTATCCTTTATTCTGTTTTTGTTGCTTTTTAGGAGAAACTTTTAAGGGAGAGTATTTGGAGTTAGTTTTGCAGTATCAGATCTGAAGTCAATGATGGTATTTGGCTCAGAACCGCAGCACATGGGATGTGGTGACTCATTATAGCAAAGGGGAGGAACCAAAGCCACTGGGGAGAGGAAGCTTATTCACCCTTAACCGCCTTCTTTGGAGGGGATGTTACCATGGTATCACAACACTGGGGCGTACACTGCACGATATCTCTCTTCTGCTGTTCAGTCACTGGTGTCTCCTCCTTGCATAAAAACGTGTGGAAAAATAATGAATTGAATAGAATGAATTTAGAAAATTAGATGCCTAGTTTTCCCACGCTGGCAACCACTCTACTGTAAGTGGGTTGCCACAGCCTCATGTTTCTAACCAGAAAAATTCCTGGAGTCCCATGGTATTAATACAAATACATTCAGTAGTTGTTAACCTGTAGCTATGAGCGTGTTAAAATAATGACATGTCTGTGATTGGCTGAATGTACATTTTTTCCTTACCCTTACATGGGCTGTGCAGGGACCAGAGGAGCTGCCTTTTGCTTGCAGCCCTCCAGGTGCCTCATGAGGATGCTTTGCTTGTCTTTGCTCTCCAGAATGGCCAGTTTTAAGCCCTTATGGCTATTTATGCTTGCCTTGCAATTACACTTCTTGTAACATTCTTGTTTATAGCTGGAGATTAGGTAAATGCAGAGATGGAAATAAGTAAAACATTGGTAGCAGCAAAAAGGAAGCACAACAGGAAAAAATAGTACTTCTTGTTAATATAAATAAACTCAGCCTGATAATATTCCCTTTTCTGATAACCTTGTTCTGCCTATTGTATTGTGCATTTACAAAAATTCTCCATGATTAACCTAGCCTTGCTAACACTCCTTTCAAATTCTTCGTATAAGTAACCTGTCTGTTAGCCTCCTCTTGGACTTTCCCTCTCTGTCAAAGGAAAGTCACTGTCAAGAGCCTTACAAAAGTACCAGTTCTTATAGTTAAGACTATTTGGTAAAGACCCTGCTCAGGCTTACTTAGTGCAGGCTAAAACTCCAGGTGTTATCACAAGCTGTTGTCATCCAGGCTTTGAATTATCAGGTCTACTTTTAGTGATGACTGTTCAGAAAGGGAGAGATGATATCCTGACTGTTGAGCACTTCTAAATGTGGAAACCAAAGGGCGGTGCATCTCCCGTATATGCTGCATCTGCCTTTTAACCTCAAGAAGATCTTGCCCAGAGTTGTCCAAGTTAAGATCTATGTTCCTCTGACTCCAAATTCTTCTTAGAAACCAGTATAAAGTTCAACAGAGAGATTTTACAACGAAGTCTGCTGTTTCTTTCTCTTCATGTCTGCCTTGATAAGACAGCTAGAAAGTAAAGGAAATTCTTTATAAACTCTGCTTATGGGCCTAGAGGTCCTCGGGGGGGTTTCTCCTGTTGAACTTCAGAGCTTCTTATCTACAGGGGAAATCTGACTCAAAGATGTATTATAGCATTAAAGGTTGTATGCTCTTAATCTAGATGCCTGAGCAGCTTCTTGACCAAGGCTTCCTGAGCTACTGTGGTCATGTTGAGTTGTTCATTTACTCTTTCTGTGCAGCTCTCTGCCTGCCCAGCCCCTGCCTTGTTTATGGAATAGATATGCTAATATTTCTTTGGAAGAATGGTGGGACAGCTGCCCTCTGAGCCAGAGCGGCTGCTAAGTTAAATCAGCACGGTTTTTCTGAGGTTGGCAAGACCAATGTCAGATGCTTTGGGGTTCTCTTGGAGTGGTCCAGTTTGCCTGGTCGAGTAAGGCTGTGCAACGTGAACTCTGGTTTGTGCTGCAGGTTGAGCAATTGAGAGGAAAAACACCTCCACAGCTGACTGCAAGCAAAGGGTGTAGGATATTCCTCCAGCTGTGCCCACCCACCCGATAGAGCATGCACTAAGTGCCTTCAGCTCTGCCTGCAGCTTTGTTGTAGAGGCCAAGAGCTGTATGGTTTTACCCAGCTGTGCCTTAGGACTAGCACAGCGGTACTGAGCAGGCTGAGTTGCTTTCTTTCTGGGTTTATCTAATTTAGTCTGGATGAGAGCATGTATCTACCTAACCACGTGAAGGCATCCCAGTAGTCTGGGTAAGCATATCTGTACCGGCTTTAGTCTAGCTGGTGTAGGTCTGAGATGCCAGAGACTCCAAGTTGTGCATGTTTGTCTGTAAAAGCCTTGCAGAGCGTGGGATGCGTGCCAGGGTTGTTCTGCTGCTTGGACAGGCACCTGCCTGTGGGTTATCAGTTATGTGGCCTCTACGCTGAGATGAGACCGGTTAACCTATCAGTTTGTGTATTTGTGACTTGTCTCGTGCCTGTTCCCAGTGTTCAGGATTCTTTGAGATCTGCAGTTCGTTAGAAGTTAAAAGTCTCGCTAAGGCTTGCTAACTTTTCCCAACTGTGAATGATTGTTCCTGCTGGAGCAGGAACACAGCGGCACAACAGGGAGAATTAAGATCCCTGCTCTTTTCTTTTTAGGATTTTGTTGGTCTTAAACACCCAGTGGTTCCTGGGTGCTAGAAGAGGAATATTTATGGGGGAGGCCAAGGGTTATCCACCTGTGTGCAGTGCTGGGGTGTTGATGGAGAGTGCCCAGCTCTCCTGTGGTGTGTGCTGGTCCAGTGCACACGTGTATTTACATCCATCCCCTTTTCTCAGGATGTCTCTGACATACAATATTTCTACTGCCAAATACATAACATACCCACTGCTCTCTTGACCCAGAAGAGTCCTGTCACAAGCTGTGACCTCTTTTAACTCTGTAAAGCGACAGAAAGACTTTTTTGTCTGGGTTAATGAATTGACTTGCTGTGTGATGAGTGCCAGCAGGAGAAAAACAAGTTAAGGAGGAAGGAGTGGAGACACTATGATATCAATTGAGAGGTAGTATGCTGTTAATTCAGCCTGGCCCCAAAAGAGCCCCAGTCAAAGTACCAGGGCTGTTCTCTAGCCAGTAGTTGTCCCTTGGACTTGAAGAACCCCAACTCATGTTCAGAAACTACCTGTTTTAGAGACTTAATGAAGACAGGGATCGTCCGTACAGAAGGTATCTCTGGGCAGTCTCTCCCAGGAGATTACCATGTTGTCAGGTTTGTTTGAAGACTCTCTTGGTTAAAAAAAAAAAAACCAAACAAAAAACCCCAAACAAACAAAAAACCCAACCAAACAAAACAACAACAACAAAAAAACACAAAACCAGAAAAATAACTTTGTGCGGGCAGGCTGTATATGGGAGAGTGCAGATGTAAGCTGAACTGAAGTTGAAGTCCTGTTCTTGCCTTTTGACCAAAGGCTTTGTTTGCATACCCCTTTAACACCGTCCTCTGTAAAGAAAATTGCTGTGAAGGGTAACTGCTAAAGCCCTCACGCAGCTGGGGGACAGAGGATCATACCGTTAGTTGTAGATTAGCCCATCTAAAAATGTCTCTTAGTATCTTCTGACCCCAATCTCTTTTCTAGCAAGCACATTTGCTGTGCTTGGTGGTGCCTCTGAATGCACCCAGGCACCGGAGGGTGCAGAGCTCCCAGGGGAGAGGGTCTCAAATGCCACGAAGGACACGAAGGAGGCTGTACGAGTTGCCATTTTGCAGGGTGAGATGGATGTGCTGTCGCAGAGGAGGAAGGCGAACATCCTCGTTGCTTCATAATCTGTCACAGGAGAATAGCAAGGTGACTTTCCTATTTGAAAAACTTCTCTGACATGACAACTTCTCCATTGCAGTACAAGCAGCCGGAGGCAGGGCCGAGGGGAAAGTTTTATGTTCGGTTCTTCCCCTCTAGGTTATGAAATAGTAAAAGCATCTCACGTTTTGAAACTACTCTGCAATTTCACATCTTCTACCTTTTGTGAGATGCGAAAAGGGCCATGGGACAGATGTCATTCATAGAGCTGCTGCTGGGGATGAGCTGTGAAAAGCGTCGAGCATCCTGGAGGGAGTTGCACGTTGTCTGTGTTCCTCCTTCTGCTATCTGAGTGGTGATGGGTTTGGGTCTGAGAGCTGCTTTAGAGTTAACTCTCCCTGAGACTTTCTCCCATTTGAATCCCAGCTTCCCACCTGTGAGCTTGTGACCCTTTTCCCATAGGAGAGAGCTGGCTGTATAGAGACCACTGCTTTGCTGGCCTCTGACTTGCTAGCAGCTGCGAGTTCATGTTTCTTGAACCTGCAATCCTACACATGCTGCAGGACCGTTTTGTGGGATCTGATGTGTAATACCAGCTTTCCTGTGTTCACAAAGCAAGGCAACAGCAGATCTGGTAATGGTAACAAGGAGTTTTGTGTTGGGCTGTGGGAGTCGGGGCATCAGCTGGGTCTTTAAATCTCTAATCACTTTGCTAATGAGCTGCAGGAGGCCCACAGCTGAGCAGAAAGGTAACCACTCTGTTAAAGTAAGACTGGTTTCTGAAAATAATTACAAAAAATAGAGGTAATGTTTATATAGTTGTGGTCTTCTCCTCCCTCTGCTTGGTAGGAGATGGTGTGGAAAAATACTATCCAGACGGCCTGGGCCCTGGGGCTGTGGCATGAGGCTCGGTGTACGTTGGCCCCATCCCAGTAAGGGTGAAGAGGTGTGTGGGACTGGGGAACAGCGCCTGCCTTCAGACCTTCCCTGACGCTCCGGTGACTAGTGCCAGAGACGATGTTGTCCCAAAAGCTGGGTTCTTTTACCCGATGTGCAAAAAGCCAGTCAACACATCGAGTCGAGATATTTGTCTTTATTGCTATACTGCAGTATAGCGTGCCAGGTCTCCAAATACCTGCACACCTTTAGAAAGAAAGGTTGAAGTTTTTATACAATTATGTTACAGGGCAAGACATACAACAAAAATTGTGATAGGCTACACAAACTTATATAGTGAAAAGGTCTTCTGAGCATGTCATGCTCTTGTCCAGTTCATTATACTAAGGTGGACTCACATTTACATAGTCATTATGCACAAGTGGGTCTTGATTTTAGTATTAAAATTAAGCAAGGTAAGGCAAGGACAGGGTATTTACTTGATTCTCATCCAGCATTGACTGTTATCTATTCCTAATGAATAATATGTTCTTGGTTATACATACAGCACGTATTCTAGCTCTACTTATCTTAAGTTTACATGATCGCATAGCAGCGTCTCCAAGGTAATGGATTTCTTATCAACTATTTCAAAATTGTTAAGTTTTGTCAACCTTGTGAGTTAATTCTGTGAGTTACTATAACAACGAGATGTGGGACTAAACAGAGAGGCCTCTAGCAAGACCCTCCAGAGATGTAAAAGGTGAAAGACGCTCCTATTTGGTAGGAAGCTGGCAAGACACCTTAAAGGGAGCTTGTCCACCGGATAGGTCTCTGGATGGCAAGTCAACAGGCATTTATTAAATGTGGAGGAGGGGAAGGAAAACAGCCTATGCTTGATAAAACACTGGCCTTTTGAGGAGAAACTGCACCCCTGAGTATCTGCGTGTGCCCACAGGCCCTGCTCTTTGCATTTTCCCCATGCTGCTTCCTAATCTGTAGACACTCAATTGAATATTAAGTTTTCCTTCAAATAGTCCCAGCATGGGTGATAACTATGTTGATAGATCATAAAAAGCCTGCTTTTACTTTTTTTGTATTTTTTATTACTTTGTTCTTGAGAAAGTTCCACACTTGCCTGGAAATGGCAGGGATTTGTGTACATACATTTGATCTGCCTTAGAGGTAAAGTGATGGGAGGGATCATTTCATCAGAGCTGAGGTGATTATTGGTTATAATGCACAATCCCTATGCAGTACAGAAACTAACAAATGAAGTTTGAATAATAAAGATGACACTGTTCCTTTTTTTTCTTTCTTTTATTTTTGCAGGGGACTGTTGGCTCTTGGCCGCTATTGCCTCTCTCACCCTGAATGAAGAAATTCTGGCCCGTGTTGTTCCCAAAGACCAGAGCTTCCAGGATAGATATGCAGGAATTTTCCACTTCCAGGTACGTGGAAAACAGCCTTCCCCCCTCCCCACTGCTGTTGGCCAGGAGCTGGTGTAGCTGGCTACGTCTATGTGTGTGGTGTTTCCTGGAGCACTTTGGGGGACATCAAAGAGCCAGGCAGAAAAACGGTGACATCCAAAGAGGGTGATGGTGGTGGAAGGAAGACGACCACTAACCAAAGAGCTGGGAGCAGGGGCTGTCTCTGTGGTCCTTCCTCCATCAGCAGATCCAGCTGAGGACGTGCATCCCCGAAGAGGGTGGGCGAAGCTGGCTGTGCAGGGGATTGATTTTCCTCTAGGAAATTGGCGTTAGCAGATAAACATCCTGGTGACCTGAGTGCACAGCGTGGGGCAGTGACGACACGTCTGTGCTCTCTTTGCAGTTCTGGCAGTACGGGGAGTGGGTGGACGTCGTGGTGGACGACAGGCTGCCCACCAAGAACGGGGAGCTGCTCTTCGTGCACTCGGCCGAGGGCAGCGAGTTCTGGAGCGCGCTGCTGGAGAAGGCCTACGCCAAGTGAGTCGAGGCCAGGCTTTCACCCCACTCAAATCTCCCAATGCCTCTGCTTCCCCGTAGCATCCTCAACTGCACGGATACCATGCATTTAAAATGTCAGCCTAATTACTAGCCTTTACAACTCCTGGGGTATCCCACAATGGCTGCTTTAGTAAAGCTTTGCTTGACAGGTGCTAAAGACAAGTAGCCAAATGGACTGGCTTTGCTGCTAGCCAGGAAAAATAGCTCTTGCATCTCATGGCAAGGCTAGAGTGCTGTCTCCTGTCCCTGGGGTCTGGGAAGCTCTGTTTCACGTGCTCTCACACCTGTGAGGGCTTGCGCCAGCAGTGCTTCAGCATGCAAAGCACACCAGTCCCTGTGCCTAGGTCTCTGTTCAAGGTGAAGATGCTCAAAACTGAATTTCCAGTTTGGGGATGGCCAGGGAGGAATTCTGCCATCTAACGTTACTGATTTCAATTGACTTAAGAAACTGAGCTAATTTAGATCAGCTGAAAATCAGATCCATAATTGTTAAAGGGATTAAAAGACTATGTGGAACTAGGGAGGCAAATTGTTTGGTCTTGATTGTGTTAATATTATTTTTTTCTTCAAATAGCATTCATGACTTTTGTCATTGATATGACTGAACCTGCAACCTGTATACATGATCGTCTAAGACTCTGTGCTGGGCTCTGCAAGTACAGAGGTCTAAGAAGCAAAGCTGAATGGAGGGCGCATTTGTAGCTGGTGTGGTGCTGTTGAAAGCAGAAATGCTGTGACAGTTGGCAAACTGAGTGCCTCTCTCCAAGAGAAGAGGAGAGTGGGGAATCTGCTGATGGTGTGTGTGTGAGAAGAGGAAAATAGGGAGCCTGATGGTTGTGTGTGTGTGTGTCCTTTTTGTGCAGGCTGAACGGATCGTATGAGTCTCTCTCTGGTGGCACCACCACTGAAGGCTTTGAGGACTTCACCGGTGGAATTGCAGAATGGTATGAGCTGCAGAAGGCACCACCCAACCTCTTCAAAATCATTCAGAAGGCACTTCAGAAAGGCTCTCTCCTTGGCTGCTCTATTGATGTGAGTTGGTGGGCTTATTGCTGGACACTGGGCTCTTGCTGTGCATGTGGGCAGCTGGAGGGTGGCCCCTTGCTCCATCTGCAGGAGGTGCACAAAGGTTGCTGGTCCCCTCTGCCTATGGTTCTCTGCTCTACCTTGTGTCTGGAGAATTTGACCCAAGAGTGTGACCCAGGCGCATGCTCTTCTGGGGGTTAGGTTGAAATGTAGACTTCATTAGTTCATGTGTAAAAGATCGTTGCCTCCCTTGTGTTTCTTCCTCAAGACCTAGAGCTTTTGCTGTTTCATAGGTTCATGGTAACGAATCATACAGGGAACTCATTAGGGGTCCTGATGTACATTTTTGTTCTTGAGAAAGCCTGTAGCTTGGCAGCAGGTTGGTACGGGCTGAGTAGGTTTGGACAGAAAGCTGCTGCTAATGGCTCCTGCAGTCGGATGCTCAGAGGTGGTAACCTCCATCCTTGCTGTAGCCTGTTTGTTGCACAAATTGTACCAAAATGTTCCCAAAAAAATCTGGACTCTGTTCTTGAAGCGGGGAGGCTCGGACTGTTGCCAGGCCTTTAAAAGGCTTTATGGGAAAACACGTTGTCAAAAGCTGAACCTGCACGAGAAGGAAAAGAGGCACTTTGGCCCTGCCTGCAAGGATTCAGCATCGCTTTTAGCCTTACTGAAATGAGTCTAGGTATTGTTATTGTGATAATCACCCTGCTCCCAAATGAGATTACATCTTAGTTATGTCTAAAGGGAAGGTAAACTGTTTACAAGAACTCCATTCATAATACAAATTCAAATGTTTCCTCCCATTTTTCAAGTTAAAGCAGAGTCTCAGGAGAGGGAAGCTTCACAGCAGGAAAAGTACTTGGTTAATGTCAGCATGCAACGTTGCAGCACTTTGGAGGCCTGTTTTACTCGTTTGCATTTAGATAAGAATCTGACATCTGGGTTTTTGCCCCAGATTGATACAAATCTCTTGTTGGGGGTGAGGGAGAGTAAATATATTCTGTTGTTGGTAAATGCTGACACTTTCTATATTGTAAACTGATTATTAATGAGTTTAGCCTTTGAAAAAATCCTGTAAAATCTTCCCTTCTCTCCTGTAAGAGAAATAGGGACGCAGAGGTTAAGCATTACATGGAGAGTGCACTGCGGGGCAGTAATAGGGCGTGAATTGACAGCAGGAATCCTGCCTGCTTGATCCCACCCTCTCTTTTTTTGAAGCTTCAAATATGCTTGTTTGAAGATCACACACTTTCTGAAATGGTGGGAAGGCAATGACAACCATATGTTTCATAGAGGGTTAAGTATTATTACAGCAAGATGTCAAGCAGTCACTTTCTAGCAAGAAGTGACTTTTCTCTGCCGTGTTTATAGGCCAGACTGTGCGAGTATTGTAATGGCCATGAAAAAGTGAGAGGGTGATATGCCTTCAGGCATGAATGGCATCCAAAGTGCAGCCTTTTCCCTCCGCTCCCCTGCCTGGCAGGTCCTTGGGTGGCGGTGCTGGGGAAAGGAGGGGGAACATCCCACCCCACTGTGGAGCTGAAGGGGGTCTTTTGACCTCTAAGCAAAGCGCTGGGGCTTGCTGGACCTGGGTGCGATCCCTGGTGACACCTGGGCAGCCTCAGACCAGTCACCCCCTGCGTTCCTCTGGGCCCCTTGAGAACACAGAGTTCATGGTGTGTATCCCCCTTTGTACAGCGTTTGGAGACGCACGAGGGGGGATGCACCACACTTAAGTGTTTCAGAGCCGGGAGGGAGCTCTGCTGTGGTGCAGGGCTTCTGGTGCGCACCCCGTGCCACGAACGTGGACCCCGGGGGCTCCAGCACCACCACACGTGCTGCCTTCCCCTCTCCCCGCCTGTCACACAGATCCCTCTCGTTGCCTCTGCGGCAGCTAAACCACCCCTGGAGCCCCCCAGTGAGATTAAACCTCCGTTGGAGGGGGAAGCTTTGCTCCGTTGGATCCCCTGCCGCGCGGGAAGCCACGCTCACCGAGCTTCTTTTCTTCTCCAGATCACCAGTGCAGCAGAGACGGAGGCGGTCACTTCCCAGAAGCTGGTGAAGGGACACGCGTACTCGGTCACCGGGGCGGAGGAGGTACGTTCGCCACCCCGAAGGGGTGAAACGCAGCCAGCTTTGCGCGTGGCCTGGGCCGTGGCAGCCACAAATCCATCTTCCATGTTGCAAATTCTCCAGTCTCACCCATTTTGCCAAATCAGGTTTTGAGCCCCTTTTCTCTGGAGAAATACTGAATTAGTCGGTGTGGTTTGGATAAACGCAAACTTGACTTCTTGGGGGTTTGACCAAAAAGCCCCTCTTTTTCCATAAGCACTGCTGTTTCCCAGTGAGCGGGTGGTGGGAAGCTCTGTGCAGAGGGCACACTACCCTCTGCTGGTGACCGGGCCCCTCGACACACTTCTGCGTAGCAGGCAGTACTGTAGCTTAAATGCACAGCAAGATGTGTGAGAGACGTGCCAAGCAAAAAAAAAAAAAAAAAAATTATTGTCCCTTAAATGCCTGCCAAACAGCACCTTTCAGCAGGGCACGATGTTCAAGTGCAAGGTGCCTGTCCAAGAGTAGGTCACTGGCAAAGTTAAGACAAGTGAAAACAAAGGAAGCAGATCGTGGCATCCTTCCACGTGTGTAATGGACTTTCAGTTACTTCACCGACAATTGTTTCCGAAATAATTTCTGAAACTCCAGAGTGAGGTGTAGAGAGCTGCTGACATGCTGCACTGAGGTGGATGCTGCTAACAGGCAGGTTTATGTGATTGCATTTGGTTCTTCTCTCACAGCAAAAGCAGTGAAGAGGGAGTTTGACCTTAATTCACAAACAGGCATGATTTAGCCAGGCTTTTCCTTTGGAGATATAGGCAGGCTTTGTAAGGATAGTTCATCTTGGGCACTGGAGCATCATTTCTGGACTCTGGGCTGCTGCTGCTCTATGCAGTTTTCTTGGCTTTGGGCTCTAGAGGTGCGCCAGCTCCTTCCTCGAATTAGTGCTGTATGTTCCCCATAAATATTGGCTTTTCCTACTGAAACTCAGACAGCTTTGTATGGCCTGGCCTCAGTGTGCACAGAGATCAGCAGATAACAAGCCAGGGCCTCGGCGCAGTGCGAGGAGGGGCTGAGGCTGCCGCATTGCGGGGCATTCCTGTGGTCAGAGGGGTTGTGGCCACACTGAGTATCCTGTCTGATGCATTGATGCATTTGAATATGAAAAGGCAGTTTGTACATAAATGACAACTCAAGAGAAATATCCCCTTGTACCTGCTTTTTGGCAGTCCTGTAGCAGCTTTATGTTCCCTTTGCTTGAAATCCTGTCAGAGGTAATTTTTTTAGCAACACGAAACGGACATTGTGGTTATCGTGAGCTTTGATTTGTGCATGCTATAAACCTTCTCTGGACAAGGTTGGGTGCATGGACCTCATTCAAAATCAGTTTGACTTCATGGCTTTTGGACCAGATGAGTGCGTGTTTTTGTATATACACTTTAGGGTTTGTGTAGCACTGAGATACTTACTCTGTCATGTCCTTTAATTCCCATAGAAAAGGTGAAAGGGAGCACAGTGCTGAATCCCTGGATAACTCTCCATATGCTTCTGATCCCATCAGGTGAACTTTCGAGGAACGGTGCAGAAGCTGATCAGAATCCGAAATCCCTGGGGGGAAGTGGAGTGGACCGGAAAATGGAACGACAAGTGAGTCGATGGCTTGCACATAGCCTGTAGGCTTTTACTGCAGGGGTATGATCATGTTTCTGCTGTCACCTGTCTTCTCCCTACTTCAGATTCCTCTCTAAGTCACATCTGAGTGTGGTGTTTGCTCTGAGCTGTTTAAAAGAAGCATCCCACCACTGTCATCTCCCACGTAGGCGTCACAGCACGCAGTGCCCTTCATACAAACACCTGCCTTCGCGTAAGATGCGGTCATTTGGCTGGTGGCTCCTACAAGCCTCTCTGTACTTTCTGCTCCTTTAACATCCCAGGCTCAGTGGTGAGCTACAGAAAACTTTCCTGCTAAAAGGGCTTTAAAAATCCTTTTCTGTTGTTAACAATGAAAGACGGAGTTTAGTTCTGTGGCTGGACAGTATTTGTTCTGGGTCTTCCTTTTTCTAAAATAAAGCTCCGTCTCAGTCAAGGCATTAGCACTTTCTGCAAATAAAACTGGTTTTGATCCTTACCTTGTATCCTGGTTTCAGCTGGGATAGAGTTAATTGTCTTCCTAGTAGCTGGTACAGTGCTACGTTTTGAGTTCAGTATGAGAAGAATGTTGATAACACTGATGTTTTCAGTTATTGCTAAGTGGTATTTAGACTAAGTCAAGGATTTTTCAGCTTCTCATGCCCAGCCAGCAAGAAGGCTGGAGGGGCACAAGAAGTTGGGAGGGGACACAGCCAGGACAGCTGACCCAAACTGGCCAAAGGGATATTCCATACCATGTGACATCATACCCAGTATATAAACTGGGGGGAGCAGGGGGTGGGAGGAATCGCTGCTGGGGGACTAAGTGGGTGTCGATTGGCAGGTGGTAAGCAATTGCATCATTTGTACATTCCAATCCTTTTTATATTACTGTTGTCATTTTATTAGTGTTATCATTATCATTATTAGTTTCTTCTTTTCTGTTCTATTAAACTGTTCCTCTCTCAACCCATGAATTCTACTTTTTTTCCTGATTTTCTCCCCCATCCCATTGGGGTGGGGAGGGGGTGAGTGGGGGGCTGCGTGGTGCTCAGTTGCTGGCTGGGGTTAAACCACAACACCTTGGATATTTAAGAAGTGAGGTATCGAATATCCCAGGTCCCTGTATTTTAATGCTGCTGTGGTTTGAGAGCCCTGGAGCTGCTGTCAGCTAGATACTGTGGAGTATTGCAATTGCGTGGAGCTGTAAGCAAGTGAAATCATTGTGCCAGACCAGCTACATTTAGGATTTAACCTTTACCCTGTAGTTTATGTGGGGTTGTCTTTCAGCTGCCCAAACTGGAGTGGTGTTGACCCTGAGGTGCGGGAGCGGCTGACCAGGAGGCATGAAGATGGAGAATTTTGGTAAGTAGCACTGGGTTTCCATTCAGGCTGAAGGGAATGTCTTCTCTGCTTTTTTCACAAAAAGTAACCTCTCCCAGTGCATTCTCTGAGATGGGTGAGCAAATTCACCCCAAATCCTAGTGCTAAATGGCAGTGGTAGAGATGGAGGATAGACAAGGTGGTTGTACAGAAAACCTGTCCATCCTAAGGAGACGTTGCCTGTGGCATTGCCTCCCGCAGGATGGCGTTCAACGACTTCTTGAGACATTACTCCCGCCTGGAGATCTGCAACCTGACTCCAGACACCCTGGCAAGTGACAGGTACAAGAAGTGGAGCCTGCTGAAGCTGGATGGGAACTGGAGGCGAGGAGCCACTGCAGGGGGCTGCAGGAATTACCCAAGTAAGAGCACGTGGTCACCGCTGTGGTGGAGAAACCCTTCATATTCGTCCACTTGTACTTTGGGCGCTGATTCTGGGAGCTGGTTTGGGGTGGCCTATGGAGGAGGAGGATATACCTGGAATATCCAGGACTGATGTCCAAAAAGTGCAGGTGTTTGGGAAATGTGTCTCCCTGGTGAGGGTCTAGTTGTGGTTGTAAAGCCTGGGGAGGGGAGTGTCAGTTTTTCCTTCTCACAGCTGATTTTGAAAGTCAGAGCTGCATCTGTCCTAGTTGACATGTATATATCAGCACAGTTGCTTTCAAAGAAGCCTCTGAGCAGTTTGCATAAATCCACTTCCCAGACACTTTCTGGACGAATCCACAGTATTTAATCAAGCTGGAGGAAGAAGATGAGGATCCTGATGATCCTGAGAGGGGCTGCACTTTCCTCATTGGCCTGATTCAGAAGCACCGGAGGAAGCAGAGGAAGATGGGAGAGGACATGCATACCATCGGCTTTGCAATTTATGAGGCAAGTAAGGCAGTACAGGTGCATGGGAGGAAAAGGAAAACTCGCCCTGTAAATAAGGTAGTGCAATTCTCAGACTGGGCTTTTTACCAAAACTCAGCTGGGTTGACACCAGCCGCAGCAAGGAAAAGTCCACTTAGATGTTTAGAAAATTATCCTCCGTGAAAACAGTGGTCAATCACAGGGACAGATACCCAGAGAGATGATGGAATCTGCATTCCTGGAGATAATAAAACCTAGAGTGGACAAGGTCCTGAGCAACCTCATCGAACTTTGATATTGGCCTTGCTTTGAGTAGGAGCTTGGACCAGATGACCCACAGAGGCTGCTTCTCACCTATAATACTCTGTGCTTCTAAATGGAGGAGCAGAAAAAGTATTTAAAAAACAAAAATTAAAAGTGCAGAAACCCAGTCTGACCTTCACTTTTCAGGCTGTGGTGAAAAGCGGCAGAATGAGAGCAGCCATGGTAGGGGTGTGACACTAGCTGGGGCACCTGCGCTAGCTTGGGGAGCGTGAGCCCAGCAGCAGAACCAGCCAAAACACCTGTAAAACTCATTCTGCTGAGTGAAGGGTCAGAGACGTGTCTATGGTAACTCCTTAAGCAGGACATTTTGTTCAGAGCTGCAAAGCAACAGTGCTTAACTGGAAATAATAGGACTGCTGAAAATAGGACTACTGGTCTTGCCCGTGGGTTGCTCTGTAACTGTAGGCAATATGTGCAACTGCTTGCTTTCTTGATATCCCAGCTTTGGAATAGCTTGTCAAAGAATTTGGTCCCCGTAGGCAAATAAGGTTTAAAGCAAAGCTAGGTCCCTGGAGTCCGTAAGGAAACAGAAAACTGCATTATTGTCTTGCTTAGCCCCTACCTCCTCTCCTGATGGCGGAGAGGTTGGGGGGTGAAAGAGAAGGTGGGAAGAAATAGTAGAGAAACAGAGTCCACAAAAAATATCACAGCGGGCCACAGGTTAGAGGGTCAGCAGGAAACCACGACCAGCGTGGCTGTGTCTGTGCCAGGCTGTGCCCAGGCTGCCCTGGGTGAGCCTCACCTGCCTCCAGGATGGAGCTGGGAGCTCCACCAGCAGTCAGCGTTGGGTGACGGGCACTCAGCGTTCACCTACCCCTGCAAGCCAAGTCTTTTTTTCAAGAGCGTGGATGTATCTGCTGAACAGCAGTGAAAAGAAGTAGCCCTGGAGCTGCAATTGAACAGGCAAATAACTCTCTCCTTTTCTCCTTGCAGGTGCCCCCAGAGGTACGTAGCATGCATTGGTGGTCAAGGTGCAGAGTTGGGGCTGAATGGCTTGTGGGAAGAAATGGTTCAGAGGATCCTCCTTCACTGCAGGACAATATTGACTGTGCAGAGTCTTAAAGTTAGAGGCCATTTATTCTGGAAGGGGCCTTGAGCCTGTGATGCGTTTTCAGAGCATCTTGGGTTGGGATGAGAGCTCTCTATACTGCAGAAACTCACCAAAGCTGCTCTTCCATGGGTCTTCTCCCAGCCCAGACCCACACCTCTTCCCCCAGAGCACAGCTGCTTTCTCAGGTTTGCACAGAGTTCATGTTTGACAGACAACTAATATTCCAAGGAAGTGTATATTTTCTTTTCCCTAAGCACCGTCTTTATTGGTTTTTGTCTGTTTCTACCTGCAGGTAGCTAATAGCAGCATGCCCCGGGGATCAGAGAGGGGTGGCAACGCAGTGATGCCTATGCAATAGGAGGCAGGGCTGCAGATGCCTTTGAGCTGTTGCTCCTCAGAGGAACAAATGAGGTTGAGCAAAATGCCTGGGTAATCTCATTATGGGGCTTGTTGTACCTTCGAGGGTGCATGCAAAGCAGCCGGGGCACCTCACAGCTCCTGAGGCTACGCTCAAACCAGCTGCTGTTATGTAAAACGTGGTTTCATCAGGAAAGGAAATGGTGCTGCCAGTTAATTAAATTTCTTATGTACCTTTTGAAAGCCTTAGCAGTACTCTGTCAGCCACTCAGCTTTCACCCTAGTGGTCCAAAAACCCGATTTCCATAAAAAAAGAGACTCTAGCTACAGTCTGGTGACTTTTCCCCAAAAGGTGGAATTTTATTTCCTACCGTGACAGCGGGTCTGACAGGTTTTGCATCCTTAAAAATCCAGGAGGATGGGAGGGGGAGGTTTCTGAACCATGCACATTCCTGATGTTTGATTCTAGAGCTGAGCTAGCCCACCTGTAAAACCCTCTGCAAAAGAGTTTGTTCTGGAAGATGTTACACTCCAAATATGCTTTTATAATGTGTAACGTTTATTTTATTCTTGGAGGCCTCTGTAAGCGGGCGCTCTGCTTTAAGTCAGCCAGACCTCAGAGACAGAGCTGAGCTGCAGTCCCCTGGTGGCACCAGCTCTGGGGGTCAGAGGGACATGGGTCGTAAGCCATCTCGCTTTAAAGAAAAATAGCTGGTGGAAGAGTTTGCCAAATGCCTTCACACACTGTTCATCACCTGCAAAATGTAAGCATGACCTGAATGATTTATTGGGATTATCTGCAAAATACGTTTGCAGCCTCAGCTCAAGAGTACTGTGGTGGGAAGCACTCACCCCCTTTCTCTTCTCTCTTTTGGCTCTGTTGAACAGACATCCTTTTTTTGTCCGTCCACATCTAATGGTCGTATCTGTTATACTTTTAATCTGTAAATGCAAGTACATGCAAACTGTGGGGTTTTTTTCTCTTTCTTTGCTTTTCATAAGTTTTCTGGCCAGACGAATATTCATCTGAGCAAAAACTTTTTCCTGACCAACAAAGCAAGGGAAAAATCAAACACCTTTATCAACCTCCGAGAAGTGCTGAACCGGTTCAAGCTCCCTGCAGGAGAATATATCGTCGTGCCCTCAACCTTTGAACCCAACAAGAATGGGGATTTCTGTCTGCGAGTCTTCTCTGAAAAAAATGCAAACTCCACGTATGTAGCTTTTTTGTAACCACGTAAGAACGGTATGGGCACATGGGTGATCTCTGGTCCTTCTCGTGGGTGTGGAAGGATGGAGCAGCCCAGGGCAGGGATACGTTGGCTTCCTGCAGGGAGCGGGAAGGGGCAATGCCCAGTCGCCCTGCGTGGATGGGGTCACAGCCGTTCTTGTTTGTCCCCAGTTTCCCCATGTGCAACTGAGGAAAGTTTGAGTAAACTTAGCAGGAAGGAATGGTGGAAGAAAAATAATAACAAGTTATTGTTGTCTTTGTTATTTTTTTTTCTATTATCGTTATTATTATTACCAGCACTACCTGGGCAGACGTTTTTAGTTATTGGGCTGTAGGCAGCTGGGCACCACAGCACAGATTGGTCTGTGGAGAGAAGAAAGCCCCAGAGAGCTGCAGGCTGGGTTCCCTGCTTGGGAGACAGAAATGCGTGTGCTTTCGGCTGTCTGGGAACACACTGATCACAACAATTGATCTCACACCTTTGAGATCAGGCTGGAAAAAAATTCAAGATACTTGCTCAACCAAATGATACCTTTGATAAAATGGGTTTTAATGGAACTGGCTCAAACCACACCGTTAGCTGTGAAGCCATGAAAAGATTGAGACATGTTGCATCTTAGAAAAGCAGCTGGGCTAAGGCCTTGGGAAGGGGTGTGGGACCTTTCATATTGAGTTCCCTAATTCAAAGCAAGCAAAAACCTTTCTACTATTCTGTAATCTTTTGTTGTATGGTTCTGTAGCATCAGAGAAGTGACTTGTTTTGGTTTTAATATTGATTTCTTTATCTTTCTAGGGTCATAGATGATGAAATTGAGGCCAATTTTGAAGAGGTATATCTTAACTTAAATGTTTTAAATGGAGACAATTTTGTTGTAAATAAGTGGGGTTGCAGAGCCTGTTCCGTGTGCAGGGTAGCATTTTTCTATAAGCATAATCAAGAACTGTTGTCCCACTTTGGAAACAGATCTTTCAATATCCATAGTTGAATGTCCAGCAAATGGGAACATCATAAGCAATAATGGAAACACATGTTGTCCTTTATCCAGAGTGGTGAGCTTGGGCTTCCCAGGTAGCAGAGATCAGGTGCTCTCTGTAGGGGTAACTGGAGCCATAGGAAATTCCTTTTGTACTCCAGGAATCCAGGAGTGCAGCCCTTTAGCCATAGGGGGGTGTTTTTGCACGTGATATTGTTTCCATGAGTAAGTAGTGGCTCACCGTATACGTTTGGTCTTCCTGGAGCTGGGGATGTTTTGCCTACTAATGCATCTACCCCTCTGTGTGACTTCTTTTTTTTTTTTTTTCCCTTTTTTTTTTTCAAGATGAGAACTTAACATTTTGCTTTCTTTTCTTTAAATGAAGACAGCTAGTCCAACAGTAGTAGTAGCAGCAACAGCGAAATTCTGAATTTGATAGTGATTTTTAATAGAACAAAGAATTTTAAATTTTCTTTAATTTTTTTTTTTTTGTAAATGCCATAGCAAAAGCTCTTAATTCCTGCAGTGTTTCCAACACCAGCATTTTGAGGCACCCCTGACAATAAAACTGATTAAAATCAAAGTAAAAGCACTCTGTACCTTCAACTTTGCCATTTAAATTGTGTTTTGCTAGGGGCAAGGAAATGCATTAAGTCATTTTCAGGCAGAAAAGTTCCTCCTTTCCATATTCTCTGTTTCTCTCCTTTAGACCGAGATCAGCGAAGATGACATCGAACCCAGCTTTAAAAAGCTTTTTGGACAGCTAGCAGGAAGTGTGAGTGTTTTTCTGTTAACATCTTACCCGCTCACCCATGTAACCAGTAAGAGAGATGCCTCCCCCAGGATGAAGTTTAATTCTTGCACGGAGTCAGATCTCAAGCTTGTGCACAATTGTGCATTCAAAAATCTGTGTAGTTACCCATCTGCTTACAGAACAGATTTGTGAGCGCTCCTGCCGAACAATCTTCGCTCTCTTTGAACTGCAGGCTCGACTTTGATCTCCACAGGTTCCTAATTCTGCCCTTGGGGCAGAGCATTTGATGCAGGCGCTTGGGGCATGGCTCGCTCTGGGAGATGATGAGGGCTGGGCTGGGCCATCTCCCCAGGCTGCTCCCACCTGCCTGGGGTCTCGGGCAGACCCCACAGCCAGGTGTGCTAATGCCTGGGAATTGGTGGTGCTCCTGGGAATGGGAGGTGGGGAGAGCTTACCACTTGCATTTCCATCCAGGGGAAACAAACTCCAAGGGATGTTTGAACTTGGCCAACTCACCCAAAGGAGTCAGAAGCTGCTTATGAGATAGACGGTGTCTGCAGCTCACAGTGAAAAATTTTTCTCTTTTCTGTAGGATGCAGAGATCTCCGCCTTCGAACTGCGCAACATCTTGAATAAAATTATGGCTAAACGTAAGTACCTTCCTCCAACTGTGGCTTCAGCTGGCCGCCAGCAGATTTCCAGCGTGGCCGTGAGAGCACAGAGCGCACCATTGACCCAGGCAGAGTGAAAGCCTCGGGCTCTGCCCCAGGCCTGTGGCTTGGCTCTCCGTATGGCCGTGGCCACGTGCTATCTCTGCTTCTTCAGGGGGTTGTAAAAATGCCGGGGCTGTGCCTGCACCAAAGGTGTGTTTCACGGGACGTGTGCTTTGGCAGGATGCATATGGCCTTTTATCCCAGGGTCTGCTACTGGGAATTGGCTGCTGGGAAGATGGACGGATTTGATTAATGCTTGATAATAATCAAGAGAAGGTATTGGTGCTACTTTTAGTATTGAACCACTCAGGATTCAAACAGTAGCCCAGCCCAATGGTCTGGGGTGTCCCTGAGGAGGAGAAACTTTGGGCTTCTTTTTCGGTGAAGTGATTCAGAGCTTGGCTCTGTATCATTTTCCTTTCCATTAAACAGTGCTCGAGAAATAAGTGCTTGGAGAAGTAAGAGTCTCTTTAATTTCCAAAGTGAAATCTTAGCCAGGTAGCCAGGACTGTGTTGTATGTCTGTGTGCACCAGCCAGTTAGCAATGGTGTATTGCTGGTTACCAAGCTTGATTTGATGTTCTTCCTTTGCATGAAGCTACCTACCACTGACCTCCAAAGGTCAGAAGTGCAATGTTGTCTACAAAAGTCCACCCTTGTCTTTGTAGGCAGACAATTAGGGCAGGAGAGCTTTATCTCTGCCTGTTGCTTCTGTAGCACACCCACAAACTAGGCTAACTGGGCTGTCTGCTTGGGGAAACGTCACAGCTAACTTTCACCCTAAGCGTCTTTGTCAAAGGAAGTCACCGATGACACAGAAGCAAATAAGGGCTGATGTGTATACACTGGTTATAGAGCTTATGAGCTATTTAGGAAGGTGCTATGGTACAGCGTGCGGTGATAATCCTGTCTCTTGCTCTTTCTTTACAGGCAAAGATATTAAATCTGATGGCTTTAGTATTGAGACATGCAAAATAATGGTTGACCTGTTAGATGTATCCTTTATGGCTGTGCCTAGATGATATTCTTCTGCCTGTGCTGAAGTAGGTGAGCTGCCTTTGCAGTGGTGGGTCCATACTGATGTACTAATAACTCCTGAGGTGAAGCTCATTTTACCCTGGTTCCCCTGAATAAAAATGGTAGTCCTTGCTATTACTGCTGGACCGTGGCACATGCCTTCTCCCAGGCAGCAGGGAAAATCCATTATCAGACAGGACGATCTGGTTTGAAGTCTTCCCAGCATTTGTGTGTTCTGGTTTAGCTGGGGACAAAGTGATGTTCATGCTGGGAAAAGGCACCTGGCTCTCAGCATGGTGTGGATAGCCTTGGCTGCAGAGTTTGAACATGCACACCTGGGTGTGCTTCACTGCTCTGCTATCTGGCTGGAGTTGGTAAGGGCATCGTAAAGCCATGAGGACTTAGCAAATAGAAAATGGGGGAAACAAATACAGGAAGTAGAGAGCATGTTGGATTTTAGGAGCTTTTACTCCTAAGAACAAGGGCAAAAGTGTAGGATGAAGGATCAAGTCTAAGAATAGTTGTGTTCAGCTTCTCTGTGCAGTGGGAGTTGAATTGTATAGTTAGAAAAAGGGAAAATTACCAAACCAAATTGATGCTCTGCTATAATTTGGTGTAAAATATGGCAGTCTGTAGGGACTCCTTAGCAGTTTTTGGGACTGATGCCGTCACCAGGTTCTTTTGTTAGCTGTTTGTGCAAGACCTTAAGTTCTCCAAATAGCAGGCTTGGTTGTGGCTTTTCCTGTTTATAATCCGGACTTAGGACTCATGCTCCTGTAACTGCAGGTGTTGAACCAACTACACAGAACAAAACGGCATCATCTCGGCTGTTTTATACATGTATTGAAAAGAGAGAGAGAGCTGCCAAAGGAAGAGCAGAAAGAGCTTGTGAACTGATCATGGTTTAAATGAATCCTTCATCTTACCGATTTAGAAAGACATCTTGGGCAACAAGTGTGTATTCAACAGGATGAGTCTTTCAGAGAAGACTTTCCATCCTTTTCTTAATTGCAATTTGTTTCAAGTATTAAGTCACAACTGCCCATGTAAGTAAACCCAGCACAGGGAGGGAAACCCCTTTTCCTTTCCTGCCGAGAGATTCCCTTAACTCAACAAAGAATGATGGGAGTGGTAAACTGGGACTGAAGGAGTTCCACACCCTCTGGACAAAGATTCAGAAATACCAGGTAAGACACAACCTTTTTGAGAGAATATGCAATATCAAATGTAGAGGTGGCTGCAGACCAATTTTTGCCTCGTACAGTGTGTACAATCACACTTCCCAAAGCAGGGACTCTCACTTCAGCTCACAATGCGTTTGTGTCCTCGGTCCCCCAGGTTTTGTCCCTTGGAGTCCTAGGGGGGGCAACTGCTTGTCCTTCAGGTGCTCGGGTGAAGGACTGAAGGAGAGGCTGCCTCTCCTCCTGCCTTACCCTCAGAGGGGTTTCTGTTTTGTTTTAACTCGCATCCAAGTATGTTTAGCCTTCCCACTTAATGGTGCGAGTTTGGTGTCACTCTTGCCACTTTGGTAGGAATAGTGCCATTTTGCACGGGCATTCAAGGAATCCTCTGGAGCCTTTATCTGCTCTGGCTGCTGCATGAAAACGACTTACTTTCTAAAGCTGCTTTTAGATGAACTCGGAGATAACTACCTAGTCCTTCAGACCAACATTGCAAATGCTTCTAAGTAACGTGCAGGCTGCATTTCACAATGCTTGACTTGCGATGAAAGCCAAAACATGCTCTGAATTATTGACAGGTTTTGACTTCGGGTTTTGTGTTCTGCAGAAAATTTACAGGGAAATCGATGTGGATCGATCCGGTACCATGAATTCATATGAGATGAGGAGAGCGCTGGAAACAGCAGGTATTTATATTGGTCTGTCTTTTTTTAAGATAATACCAGTTTCAAGCTGCGTTGATAGATGCTCACAAGTCTCCTGTATATCACTTGTAAGCTGAAAAATCCTGTGTTCCCAGACCTGAAAGGCCTCTGTTTAATATAGATACTCAGCCTGGGTTCCTGTATTTGGGTAGCAGTGTCTTGCCATGTTGGCATACTAAAAGCATCTCAAAGGAGTGACAGGTTTGCAGTTAGTTTCTTTAGTGACCAGCTTTCGGAGAAGCACAAATAACTGCAACAGTCTGGCCTTCTAACAGCATACTGTTGTCTTTCAATGAGTCCCTCTGGGTATATGTGGCTTTGGCATAAGCCGGTAAAACTGGGACACTGTGATCTAGGGAATGGAAGCGGCTTGACCAAAGGGTGATGCTCACAAGAACATTAAAAGAGTCAGTTTGCTACTGCAACCACTGAAAAGCAACTCTGAGTTACAGCACTGAGTGAGCGGGGTATCACAGAGCCATATGATCCCAAATTAACTTACTGATCTTCTGGGGCCATCTTAATGTCTATGTTTGGGCTTTCTGGAGCTTTCCCCTCCTGTTACCGTGCAAGATGAGGCAGCATTTCTTTTTGTCCCAAAGTTTAGATACTCTTTGGAAATAGAGACCCATTTGCCCAAAGAAAGCCGCGGCTTCATCTCGGGTCTCAGTGGGCTGAGTCTGGCAGCCACCTCATCACCCAGGGAAGGCCCATGAGCTGGAGCAATTGGCCATGTCCCCTGGGAAACAGGAGTACAAGTGTGGGAGCACATGCAGCAGGAAAAACACATGTGACCCAGTCACAGCTCTGAATCACTCCAAGTACAGAAGGGGTTGTTGGGAGTTTCAAAAAATGGAGTAAATACTCTTAACATTTGAGAATTTAACCAAAAGTAGCTAATTGAATTTCCGGCAGTGTATAAGGTTGTGGGGTTTTTGTTGGTTGGAGCTTTTTGCATTTTTTTTTCTTCCTTTTCTTTTTTAAATCCTTGACGTTGTATTTTTAGGGTTCAAACTGAACTGCCAGTTACATCAAATCATTGTGGCTCGTTTTGCTGATGAAGACCTCATCATTGACTTTGATAACTTTGTCCGGTGTTTGATTCGGCTGGAAACCTTGTTCAGTGAGTACACGCTTAATAACCTGACAGACTCTGTTGCTTTGTGTTTTCAAGTCCAAGATAATTTATTCAGACAACTTTGTACTGGAACCAAAGCAACTTCAAAGCTGAGCTATCATTCCGGCAACCCAGTCTGCATGCTCCTCCTAGATCTAGGAATCAGCTGTTGAGGCCAGGCTGCTGAACTGGATGGAGCCAGGCAGTCTTTCATGCAAACAACTAAATGTTGATTTAAAAACAAAAACCAGTCTAAACACAGATTGACAAGTAGTGTTACTTGTAGTTACTAGTACAGACTGAACCACTAAAAATGTTCAGTCTCATTCTTGCACATGAGCATGCAATGACTTGAGTGGCCCTTTCTGGTTTGGGGTGTAGACTGTTGTCATAAATTTTAGACTCTGGGACTAAATTCCTTTTTGATTCTGAAGCACAAGGAATGGGAGGGCTTTCCAATTAGTTCCTATATTCATCCTTGTCTGTCATCTCTCTGTTACCACAGAAATGTTTAGAAAACTGGATACTGAGAAAACTGGAACAATAGAATTGAACCTTGTCAATGTAAGTTCATTTAGCTCTAAAATGTTTGTTGTCATCTTTTGGGGGGAGGTTAACAGTAGAGACTCCTGCTTCATTCTGACTGATTATATGTATTCACAAATATGCTGGATTTATATAGATTGTGTATAAGCAGTCTTAAGAAAGGTTACCCTTTTTTAAAATGTACCTACATCACATTGTATTCTCTAACAGACAGGCCAGGTTCCTCGAATGTGCTGCCACTTTTCACTTACTGGCAGTAATTTTGGCCAACATGTATGCAGGCTTCTTCCCTGCCTTTTCTGTCAACAGCAGGGTAAAATGTAAATGCAGTAGTGACTCATGGTAATGACCACGTTTGCTTCTTTCTGCACTGTGTGCCCTGCAGAAAGAACTAAGTTAGGAGAAAACTACCCTCCTACACGTGTTCAACTTGCTTATTACCTGAACGTAACTTACTTCTGGACCTACATAGGAATGTGCAAATCATCCCAAAAGTCTTCTGACTTAAATGAGAGATAAATTTAAATCATTCAGGAAAGATCCTAAAATTACTTCTGTAACAGTAGACTTACTTTCTTCCTCATGCTAGAAATGTGAACATGCATACTTGCTATGGGTGTTTTTACTAAACTTAACCTTGGGCCATTTTCCTCTCTCTCTTGTTATAGTGGCTGTGCTTTACTGTCATTTGAGCCACTGACATCAGCTCAAGAGACCTCAAAGAGAGCAAGATCAGATGAAGATAATCAAGCAAACATACAAGTAATATCTTAACATGAATGTGCCTTAACTTATGCATGGCAAATGTTGCACACAGTTACAAGAAGGAAAGTGTTCTACTTCAACAACAGCAGAATCTGCAACTTCATTTTAATGGGTCTGACAGTCTTTATCTACTACTATATATCCTCTGTACAAAAGCTTTAATTCAGTATAAATCCTCAGTACAACTTTTGAAAATACAAATCTTTGTATTTAAGGTGTTTTATATGACTTCTGGAAGAAAGCTCATTATAGCTTAGACAGTTTGGTTTAATAAGTGCTTTCTGAGTAACAGCTCCCTGCATACCTGAAACTAGAAAAGGGATGGTATTGCATATCCCTGAATACAGATAATGTTTAGGTAACATTATGGGTCCCTTGTGTGCTTTCTGCCAAGGCCCAGCATTATTCTGGTTAAATATTCTTTGAAGAATTTGAGTAGCAAGTACACATTTGACCAAACTGAAGGACAAGTCCTTCCCTCCTGACCATTGATGTGCCTATAGCAGGAGGCTGTTGGCAACCAGATGCTTCCAAAAGAAAGCCCATGCTCTCAGGTATCTTATTTATCTTCCTTTGCAATACAAGAAGGTATTTAAATAAAAAGTTATTCCTTCTGCAAGTAAGCACTTTTTTTTCTTAGATCATCAGAGAAAATCTGCAGAGCTTTTGCTGTCAGGAAGAGCATGTTGCCTTTAAAGGGGAAAAACAGCATTCTGGAGCAGACTAGGCACTGACATCACTCTAGATGTGTGTCAGTTAACAAAATTTTAGATAGTCTGATTCTTTAAAAGATTAATGCTTGAAAAACTAAAGGTTTCCAAGAAAGGTAAGTGATGCTCTATACCCCATACCCAACCTGTTAAAATCATGAAGCTGTGAACAGGAGCAGATTGCTGCTTCCAAGAGTTCTTACTACAGCTGGCTGACTTAAGTTTGCCTACCTGAGGAATTGTATCCTCCTTCCTATGAACAATTACGTGTACTTACAGGCACCTTTTCAGAAAGCAGTAAGGACTTGACTTACCTAATAGGAAAACATGAGCCTGAAGGGTAAGGCAGTGAGGCACTTCATAAATATGCTTAAGGATGGATTTGATCCTCTAAATAGTGCTCATTATCAAATGATTATTCCCAAATCCATTGATATAAAGGATAGTTCCCTGGGAGCGGCTTTATTTGGAAAATACAAGTATCAAGGTTTTTTTTCTTAAGTATGGCCCTTGGCTTTTAAGATTAATGAAGCTTATATGCAAGTAACAGATCTGGCTTAATTTTAAATGCAGAAAGACTGTCTTGAATGAATGGGGGAGGAGGGGTTCAATTTCATACAGAAAGTAGTTGAATGTTAGTGTAACATAGAACAGCACTGTGTCCTACTGGTAACATTTTCAGATGGTCTAATAAAAACTTGACACTAAAACACACAGAGTTAAAGCTTAAGAGGAGACATAAGTTTAATGGTATCACAGTCAAGTAAAAACAAGTAAGTTGTCAAGTACTACAGAAAGTTGCTACGCTTAGTTTTCAAAGTACAAAATACAATAAATACATGAGGCTCTTTGTAAAAAGAGGAATCTAAAACTACATTGTCTGTTACAGCACATAATATTTTGAATACATGGAATTCCTAAAATGCTACAGCATTTTTAAAAGTTATTGCTTAATGGATCGGTCATGTGGTTGTCACCGTTCACATGCACTTCAGTTTAGCTTCTTTAACAAAGATTCTGCTTCCAGCAATAAGCATTTGGGTGCTGTGCACGTACTCTATTTTAATTTCTCCCATCTGGAAAAAGCCTTGGGATAAATTTGGACAAAGCCAAGTTGTCTGTTTCATGATGATTCCTTCAATGGTAAATTGAAAAGGTCCTTGTATTTAATGCAGAAAAATGGGAAATTCTTTTCTGCCATGTTTGAAGAAATCAGAGTGGGTACTTGAACATAATGGTTTGCTTAGACCAAAGGCAGCAGAATTTCATTTGCTTGTAAGCATTATTTCATCTTGTAGAATGCCCTCATCCATTTGCTAATGCATCAATCCTTCATTTGTTTTCAAAGCACATTCTTCATAGCTTTCAAATTACATTGTCATTGAAATAAGTCTCATGATACTGGAACCAACACAAAATGGATTTTTTTTTTTTTGTAAGTCATCCGTGATTAGTATTTCAAGAATCTGGCTTCTGTACTATTTCATGCCAAGCTTCTTTGTCTAGGTTTAATCCTTGGATACAGCTGAGGGTAAAATAGAAATGAGATTTAAAATGTTAGTGCTTTAAAAGGTTACTTTAAAAAAAAAAAAGACAAAAAAAGAGGAAAGAAAAACCTCTCTCTAACACAATCTCTAGTAGCAAAAGCATGGTTATAAAAAAACACCCAGACCACTAACAAATATAAATTTAGCATTCTTAAACAATCTTAAAAAATACTAACCATGTCAGTATGGAAGGAAAGCATTACACAGCACCTAATTCAGTACCTTAAGCTCTACCCAGATTGGTGGGCTAGGAAAAGCATGTGGCTTTAAGTCAGGAGACTTTTGTGTTCAGTGAACTACCAGATTTTTCCCTGTTTTATAAATGGAGAGGTATTAAAATCTCTTTTGCTTTCTCTCTCTCAATGCCTATCAGCCTTTATATATCTATAGCTTTGGGCAAGCTGGAAACATCTGGCTGTGTAAGAACTGTGGGAGCTATGCTTTAGTTAGTGGATAGTGGGTGGCCAGTTAAATTAATTTAACTGCCCAGCCATTAATCAGTAGCTGTCACCCTGTGGCCCTTGAGCTGTGTGCTGGTCACACATTCTGGCTATGGACGCACAGGTACAGAGACTGCGTCAGCCTCAGCTGCAGGGTGACAACTGACAGGACACAGCTCAACACAGGGCACAGCAGTGCCGAGATGCTTGGGAAGCTCTTGGCTCCCACTTGCAAAGTGCTTTGGGAACAACTACTGTTCTGCAAAGCATGACTACAGGCATAAAAATAGAAGTGTACAGTTAGGAAAGATGAATCCTCTATGCTCTAAACAGTAATGCATGTCTACATTACATCCTAGGTTTTTTCAGCTAAAGTTCTTAAAGATGCCCTCTTCAGCCAGACTCTGGCTTTCTTTTTCACAGTCAGCTAATGATTAAGAGAAGACCAACAACTTCACCCACAAGTTTGTCTCAGCCTGCTATGATTTCACCACTAGCAGAGATAAAAAGTCAGTCAGAGTAGCGTAACACCTGACAGTGTTCAATAGATTTTGTTTGGTATTAAGAAGTCAGTATTTTGACAGTGTTATCTTATTTGCATTCAGTTTTAGAGCTCTCACAGCTTAGGGAGCTACTGAGTCGCTAAGAAGGGTAGAGTACTGATGCAGATAATTTCAACCTTGTTTTTATTCAGTGCACCTAACTGCAAAAGGATAAAGGAGCTATGATAAAAATACAATTTAATACAAGAATATATTAAACTACCAAACATTTTCTTCTGTGTTAAACATCTTAGCCTAGATTTCAGCTGCTATATTCGTCTCCAGTAACTGCTTTTAAGAATAACCACATAATACTTCAGTAACAGTACTAGGACAACTGAACAGACACAAGAGCGTAACAGTTAATACTGGGTTTGGGTAGTTTTCACCAAAGATTCTGTTCAGACTGTATGATGCTTAGAAGGATGAGTTGTGATCCCCAGTCTAAGCTATGTTGCTTTGTGCTTTTTATTACAGAAGCAGAGATGCTCCTTGTGTTCTTGCACACCTGTGCTCAGGCTGAGTGCACAAACTTTATGAAGTAGTAACACATGCACAATTCACCCTGGGGCAGGAAAAAAAAAAAAACCAGCTGCCATTTCTGACCTTACTGTGCAGGGCTGATGGCAGCTCTCAATTTGGAAATGTTTACATTTGGAGAGGAAAACACTAAGCAGAAGTACTATGTAAGGGAGAATTTTACAGTACATTGTGGGTAGGCCTGACCTGAAAGTGATACAGAAATGAACTGATTTTGCATTAGATATAGTCGCTCTGCAAAATCTAACCAGTTTAAGGATTATCTGCATGAGGAAGGAGGTTCAGCCTCTTTCAAGCATCATACATCACTCAGCTAAAATTCACAGTGGTTAATCTTTAGCAGTGGCAGAACCTCTTACCTCCAGCAACAGGACAACTGGATATGTAGAAAAAAGCTTAATGGAATTTTTATACGTGTCCATTTGCTATGGTTTTCTAGCAACTCAACCACAAGGAGAAATATGGGGACATAATTGAAAGTATCTATTATTTGTACACAGTTGTTTTTAATAAAAGAGGTAGTACAGAAGGTGATGAGCAAAGGAGAGGCCATTCATTTAAGGCCTTTGACATATGGTTAAATATTACTTAAAGAGCATAGAAGAAAAAGATCTGCCTTTATTTGGCAACATGATCTCCTTTTCAACACTAGAAAAAACTATAGAGTTGTGCAATATTTTTCTTAAAACCCTCTGAAACCATCTTGGATCACAGGGTGCACTGTGTACACCCAGACAGGGGAAGACTCGTGACTAATTCTTCATAGAAGTTTCAGTTCTTAGGGCCCTTTGTGCCAGTATATCCCTTTTTAAAAGAGGGGGAACCCTGTTCTGTTCACATGCTCAACAAAACCTTATGCACATGTCATGTTCAGATAAATCTGTGTTAGATATCTAAACAGAAGGTGTTAACCTACTCTGCCAAGGTTCCCAGCTCCCCCAGTGAATAAATGGAGATCATCAACTCCTTCCTCTTGACTTTTGAAATTGCACTTAACCTAGATGCATGAGAATAATGCTGTGTATACTCCACATAGTGAGGTGTTTTGTTTTTTTTTTTTTACTCTGGAAATATCAAGGACTCACCCCTAGGAGGTTGCGGGGAACATAGCCTTCCTTGTCATTCAGCCGTGCCCACCACCACTCAATTTCGTCTTCATCTTCCCGGCGCAGGATTGTCATGCAGTCTCCCTCTT